ACACTTGAGTTCATTCATCGATTCAATCGTTAACTCTAATAGTTAATTAACTCAACTGGACTTGATAAAACCTCAAACTAACCTCCAACTAAGTAGAAGTTCTCAACTTTAGTGGATATCTTTGTTAATCGATCATGTTTAACATCTTTCACAACTTTAGTGATAGTCTTGTGAATCAATCATGTTCAACTTCTTTCTGATTGACTTCTTTTAACATGAAAAATTAAATCCAGCTTTGCTAGAACAAACATCTAACTGAATGTACATACCCATCAAACAACAATATTGCCTGCCAGCTTACGTATTACAAAGTCTTATGACTAAAAATAGATTTTTATTGAAGGCACTGCAGATGAAAAGAGGCTGAAATAACTAAACTTTTTATTAGGTTTTAGTGACATCTCATAAACTATCACATACTCAAACATGTGATAATCGAACACAATGACAAGGCAACGAGTTTGCATCAACGTAAAACATATGATTCTCAACACAACTCCAATCATGTAAGCATCAAAGGGTCGTGCATAGTCTTTTAAAAAAAAACTTGTTTTTCAAAATAAACTAAATTCATGAATTAATCCGACTTCTGTAGTATGAGTGACGATTAGTCAAGCAGCCAAACTCTTGGAGGCAATCTCAAACACGTTCTCAGACAGCCCATTCGCTGACAGGATCATCTCCAGCTGAGCCTGCACAAATCGTTTTCGAAAAAACATTTTATGATGATAAAAATCTTGATACACACGCAAAGGTAGGATGATTACAAGAAATCAAGAGGTTTGATTTAACCACATTTTATAAATAGAAGAAAAGAAAATTACACTCTTCATTTGTGTGTGTGTCCCTATTTTACGAGTTGCATACTCAAAGAGGCATTTCTAAAAATAAACACAAACCTCAAGGATTTGTTGATCAAGGGTGTACAAGTATTTGTAGTTTTGAAGGATTAAGTAGTAAACTTGTTGATAAAAATGTCAAGAGCTCTCATCAAGGGTACCGGACCTGAGGATTCAGCTTGTCAAGCTGTACAACCATCTCGCCCAAAAATTTGTAGCCTGACCCATCTTTAGCATGAAAATTGACAGGCGACCCACAAAATCCTCCAATGAGCGAGTACACCTATTAAAAAAAAATGAATAAAAAAAATCAATTTCTGGTACATTGAAATGAATTTCTGGTAGAGAGGAGAATGTGTTTCGATTTGGATACAGTTTACGAACCTTATTTGGATTCCGCAAGTCAAAGGCAGGATGATTCAAGAGTTTACGTACATTCTCGACATTGCCGGGTATATCAGACATGGCTTGCAGGGCAAACCATTTATTTACCACCTACACACAGAAATTTACTTCACTATAATTTAATATAATCTTGTAAAAGAGAAGCCAAACCTTGCAAATGTATTTTTATGAAACTAATACACATTTTAATTGCAAAGGCATTTCATGCTTCTCCACTCATTTGCCTTCACTGGGGTTAAATGTACGAAACATTAAATATATGAAAACGCTAATGGGATATGTGCTGATATATCATGTGAAATGGGTTTTTCCAGAATGCATTAGAGGTTTCAGTCTGTTTCCTAATTTACATGCATAATATTTTGCAGCTGACCAAAAATCATTTCAGAAATGGCAAAATATTAGATAGCCAAACATAGGAAATTACCAAGAAATCATGCTGCCACTTGTTATAGAAATCAGCCAAAACCTCATCCCGAGTTTTACCAGGCTTCTGATTAAGAGCCGCCAGGGCAGCAAATTGCTCGGTCATGTTCGTGGCAATGTTGTATTCGTGCAATGCCAGCTGAGTTATCTCTTCATCTTCAATTGACCCAAGATAAGCTGTGCAGGCAAGCAAAAAGATAATTAGTTAATCGGATTAATAATGTACAAAAATATCAATGCAGCAGAATTTAGAACAAAAGAGGGAAAAAAAAAAAANAGAGGGAAAAAAAAAAAAAAAATGCACGTAAATACCCAGAGCTACGTTCTTAAGAGCACGTCGGGCCATGTTTGGGTGGTCAAATACATAAGCCTCTGAGCTTATGTTATTTTTAACCTGTGATGCATGTCGGGCCATTATAAGAACAGATGGGTAATATCTACCGGAATAAAATGTGGTCAAGTGACAACAATACAGTATCCTACAGTGTCGAGCAAATCTTCTTTCAAGTCAGAAGCAAGCTGCTTTCTGATGAAAGCTCTAACTGCATGAACAGCATCGGGGTCGGCAACTTCCATCATGTCCATGATTTCACCTTCGCCAGGTAGAGTTATTGCCTTGGCAATGAATTCCTTAAGATCCAACAAGGATTGAAGAAAATTAAAAAATTAACATTATTGTCTGAAAAAGATGACACTGATACTTAATTATAGGATTTTGCTATGTATACACAACACAGTGTAGATGATGTTTTACGTACAAGTGTGTGGATCGATTTATTAAATAATAAGTGGAAACAACACCCGTAAAACCATTATGAACACTATATTATGTGTATGTAGCATTATTCGTATTTATAATTGTACCTTATCCAATTTCGAGTCACCAAGAATACTTTTAACTCCACTCACAAACTGCGGGTTGAGAACCAAGGGTTTATTTTGCTGATAATCAGAAACTAGGCTGAGCATCAGCTTTCTAGCCAAAACCTGCCCGGCCTCCCACCTGAGGCAATAAAAGTGATGTTTAGACTCTACATATCATTATATCATTGTTAAGAGAGTTTCAGTACGCACTTTAGCTTGACTGGAAAAGTACATGATTTATTTAGACCAAAAGTAATGTGGCGTTATTTAGAGAGTATCAGTTAACACTTCAGCTGCTTGAAGAAAAAAACGATTTGTAATTCACCCAAATTTTAAAGCGCCCCCTTCCTACTTTCAGATTTTCACAGATTATGCTAAATAAATCATAAGTCGGCATTATAAAAAATCACTATAAGGCTATGTTTGGTAAAACTAGCTGATAAGCTAGCTTATAGCTTATCAGTAATTTTCGGGCTTATAGCTTATGACTTATAGTTGAAAAGCTAACTTATATGATAAAAGTGTTTGGTAAAATTAGCTGATAAGCTAGCTGACATAAAAATTTCAACTGGCTCATTTGAAAAGCTACCCAAAGAAGCTTATGAGATAAGCTCGAGCTTTTTAAGAAAGCTCGTCCTACCAAACGAAGCTTATTTAAATACAAGAAGCTTATAAGCTAGCTTATTGGTCTACCAAACATAGCCTAAAGAAAATGACTGCGAACAATCTCGTTATTTTTACATCCACATACCGATTGAATTCATCCGAATCATTTGCAAGAAGGAAATACAAATCAGCATCAGTAAGATCCGAATCCAAACGAACAGGAGCACTGTAACCCCTCAGTATAGATGGCACTGGACGCTCTTGAACGTCATTGAAAACAAATTCTTCTTCTTTCTATTCACGGTCAACAAATACAATAGAAAAGATCAATACAAAATGCAAGCAGCAACAAAACTATTTCCTCCATTCCAGAAAAGATAGTTCATTGTTTCCATTTAAATTGTCCTACAAATATATTGCTATTACTTCAATTGAGTACTTAATAGAAATGAAACAACAAATAGAACGGGGTTATGGAAAAAATTAATAATTAATTAGAGCATTTTTCACTTTGCCAGCATATATGATTGTGTTTTCTCAGATTGTGTCAAATATGCCATAAGTCCATCTTTTAAAGACAGATGAAGTTACTTTTACAAAAGCACTACCAAAACAGAGATAAATCACATAATTGTCAGCTCACAACATTACAAGACGTTATAAATTTAGGTTACTTTGAGAACTGTCGTATGAAATGTAAAAGGCAAACAATCAACTAGGTAACATTAAACCAACCTTAGTGACCCTGAGAACTGTAGTATAAACTGGTTGACCGTCTTTGGTGATATCAGTCAACTGTCCATCATGGTATACAGCCGAAAGTGGAATGTCTTTGCCATTGGAATCGAGCAGACCCAAGGCTACAGGGATAAACATTGGCTCTTTCACTGGCTGCCCAGGGGTTGGGGGGATTTCTTGGCTGCAAACTCAAATTTGCATTATTGCCATTTTATATCCACTCATCAGCAAATAAAACTCTCCATGCAAAATATATTACCTGAACTTAAGAGAAAAAGTCTTAGCTTCGGTATTGTATGCAGTAACAACCTTCAACAGAGGTGTCCCAGCTTGCGAGTACCTGCATTATTTTGTCCATATAAAAAAGCTTTGAGCACCAAAAGAGAGGTAAGTTCATAGTAAATGTAATCGGCAGTGTGACAACTTACCATAACAAGAAGTTGGCGAAATCAGCACCGTTTGCATCTCTCATGGCTGCGAAGAAATCTTCGCATGTCACGGCTTGCCCATCATGCCTCTTAAAATAAAGATCCATGCCCTGAAATTTTGAACTAACGATTGTTATACTTGTACAAATATCATGGAGGTCGCTAGTAAGGAAGAAATACTAAAATACATAATTCGTAAGCTCAAATAATTGATTTTTTTTTCTCACCTTTCTAAATCCTGAACTGTTCAACAAGGTTTTATACATCCTTACAACTTCGGCACCCTAAATCAAAAGGTTTGATTTGGTTAAAAAAAATTATAACCATATGCACACAGTGCCACCCCTTAACCTTGGAAATTGTAATGGAAAAAATGTGAATAGAAAGAATAGAGAACAAACCTTCTCATACACCTGCCGTGAAGAGAATAAAACAAGGAAGAAGATATAAAAATTAGTCGTAAATTTAGAAAAGAAAAGGAGCTAATAAAACTATGGCTGGTCGACAACATACCGTCACTGCAATTTAAGATTCATGGCCGACAATCAACATCCAGGGCATGAGAAAAGTTGAAAGCAATAGTGTTAACATTAGGTTTCAAAAAGAAATGCAAATTAGAATATGAAAGTTGCAAGTCATGCATGGCAATTTATTATCCTGATCAAAAGGGCAGGAAGAGAAAAAGGAAAAGGCTCTTACCTGTATAGAAGTTATCCATCTGCAAAGGAATATAAAAAATAAAATATAAGCACAGATTCCAAACTTTTTATGGCTCATGAATTGAGCAAACTTCATTAATATGGACCTTAATATAAGAGTGAGGTCGCACAGGATGAGCCATGGGACCAGCATCCTGGAAAAATAGAAGCAAATTAAGCATTATCAGTAAACAGTTCAGCATCCAATTGACTACACAGTTTAATTGAATTGAATTCCAAAAGTATAATATGACTGAAATTTCAGCATCTCAATGCATGGAAAAACACCACAACATTGCTCAATTCACACCTGAGGAAATTGATAAATTCGAAGAGTTGAAACGTCAGCTATCCTTTTTACTGTACGGCTTCCCAGATCAGAAGAAAACTCCTGCAAATTAGACACAAATTTATAAGTCAGATCAAGTTAATATTGCTTGAAATCTTGAGGTCTAGGCGTCTAGCTAAAATGACTTCACCTGATCACGGAAAACAGTGAGACCTTCCTTTAAGCTAAGCTGAAACCAATCTCGGCATGTAACTCTGTTATTTGTTGAAGTGTCAATGATACTTACAATTTATACACAACTTCAAGAGATGCCAAGATTTCAACGGTAATGTAAAAGAAAATAAATAAAAACCATTTCACAAGACATAAACTTTTCTGAGAACATCTTCAGCTCCTCGTAAATCACAGACCACTATATATAGGCAGCAACATATAAAGATTTGAGAAAAAAAAAATAAAAGAAAGAAAACTAGAAAAATAGAAACAAGAAAGTAGGCCAACCTGTTTCCTGTCCAGTTGTGAAAGTACTGCAGACAGAGACAAGAAGTCAGCACCAATTTAACGAATAGTCCACCTGGAGTGTGGAGTTCGAGATAAACCAAAGTTTCGGAAAAGAAATACTAGAGCAAAGACAAAGAACCTCATGTCCAATAACACCCAAAATTGCAGCATAGTCTGCATCTGTTGCAGTTTCCGGAGATGCCAAGACAAGTTTGGAATTGAAAATCTAAAAGGAAAAAAGAAAAGAAAATAACAATAAAATCATAAATTCAAGAAAAAGAAGTATCAATATATGGTACAGTGATCATAGTGTTGACTTATTTCATACATTCAAACTTTTGTTTTCCATGGCTCCCCTGTCAATCAGAATAGAACAAAACACCATTAGGAATTAGGAATCTGAAGGTAAAAGGTATCTCTACTCAGAAGAAAGAAAACAGGCGTCTTTGGAGGTTTGAACTAACATGTTAAAATCTGGAACAGCAACAATGTTGAAGAGATCCAGGTCATACTCAAGCCCAAAAACCTGGTTAAAAAAAAAAAGGCAAAATGAAATCAAACAATAAACAAATGAAAAACTATAATGAAAACGAGAATAAATTCTAGGGAAAAGTACAACTACTCCTTACGTCTTCATCCCATTTCATGGCAGCTTTCAAAGAGTACATAGCATGGGCCGTCTTTGGGACATCTTGTTCGGGAGTCCAAATTCTAAGTGACACCTTTCGGCCAGAACGAGTTGTGAAAGTATCATCACGGCTCACCAATTGCCCGGCAACTAATGCAAAAAGATAGCATGGCTTCACAAAAGGATCTTCCCATACTGCATAATGCTTGTTTCCCTGCACTCATTCGGAAAGGCTCTCATACCATATACACACAAGACAAGAAAATCATGTTCTTGAGAAAAGAACAAAGAAGACAGAAAACAAGTGAAGGGGCCTCACATCCAAGTCTCCTTGCTCTATAAGATTCCCATTAGATAACAGTACCGGGTAAAGTGACTTGTCACCTTCAATACGACAAGTGTACTTTGCCATGATATCCGGGCGATCCTGATGTTGTCATCACATATTAAGCAAATGTCTTTAAAAATTCCCAACTTAAGACATCATTCACAAATCCATACCTGATAGAAAGTAATTTTCCGAAAGCCTTCTGCTTCACATTGTGTGCAGAAGTTCCCTGATGATTTGTAGAGCCCCTGCAGTATTCATTATATTGAGAAACAAAGATAGCTATAGTTGTATAGTTTTTGGATCATATATTTGTAGGTAAATATGAGATATATTCTGTATATAAAAGATCAAACAGAAGACAAAATTTCAAGTCAAACCTCCAAAGAAGTGTTACTCTGAGGGTCTATCTCAGTGACAATCTCCAAAGTGAATTTACCAACGGGGGGTGAGGAAATAGTTAGGTGACGTGAGTCTAGGTGGAAATCACCATCCTGCAACAATTAGTTTTTACTATTGAGCATTACCGAGTACAATAATAAACAACTTAATAAGAAAAAAACAGATAACAGAGGAACAAAAAGTAATATTAACAGCAGAGGAAGCAACTATGTAGGACATATACCTTCAAGTAATTACTGTTGGTCTTCAGAGAAATCAGTTTCAGATCAACACCATCCAAGACTAGAGGTGAAGAAGAACCTGCTCATGATGATAGAAAATTGTAGACATTATTTCTATGAAATTTTACCTATATATATAATTAGGGGTCTTAAGACGCTGCAGATATGTGCACGTTAATTTAACAGAAAAACTTCACACAGAAGAGTAGAAGTAGATCATGTCCACTCTACACTGAAGCAAACAAGATGGAAGTAAAATTCTAATCTCAAGCTATATCAATCACAAATCAGTCAACCATTCCTTATTTCTTTCAGTCATCTGCTCTATAAAATCTAAAGAGCCTAATGTAATCTTAACACCCCTCCTTACATGTCACATCAGAACTGACAAAGTTAACAAACAAACACAACAAATAAAAGACCCTTGAAATCTGTTCAGCGTTCACTTCCTGCCTTAACAAGAAGAAAAAGGATGGACACCAACAGATATAAAATCTAAAGAGCCTAATGTAATCTTAACACCCCTCCTTACATGTCACACATCAAAACTGACAAAGTTAACAAACAAACACAACAAATAAAAGACCTTGAAATCTGTCCAGTGTTCACTTCCTGCCTTAACAAGAAGAAAACGGATGGACACCAACAGATATTACAATTGCAAGACACGTTAAAAACTGAAGGAAAACAGGAAGAATAACAAGAAAGTACCTTCGATCCTTGGATAGACAACTATCTTGGAACTAACAATTGTTTTTTTCTCCCCCAGTGTGAAACTAAGGTCCACCTAAGATTCAAGCATATTTTGCAAATATCTTAGACAAGCAAATAATACCAGATATGATAATTCAAAATCAAGACCTGTAAAAGATACTACCTTCTCAAAGAAATAATCAGGTTGCTTGTAATCCTTCAAAAATATCTCTTTGGGTGCATCCATATCAACTTCCTTTGCTACCGGTTCTGTTGCAACTGAACAAACAAATCTCCGGGAAGTATTTGTAAGACTCTAAAGTACAAATACAACATGTGAAAAGTATAAGTAACAGGAGATCGTGATGTTATAATTTCAGGAATTTCAACATGCTCTGAAGATGAATGAATCAGCTTACAGGCAGCGAGTGATATGGTAATCGATATTTCTTCCAACTAGTAGCCTAGTGCCAAAAATAGATTGAGACATATCAGCAACTAAAGTTGGGAACATCTAAAACAAGAAAAGTAACCTACGACAACGCAAACCTCAGAACTGAAGAATTTCCGGTGCCCCCTAGTAAGCTTTATGGAGTGTCCCCTAACACGACAACTTGAGCGAAACTGAAAAATTATATGAGACCTCTAAGATATTATGCAAGAAAACATTCATTCTGGATAGGTTAGTGCCTTCAAAATGTCCAAAAAAAATTGAGAAGCTTTGCAACTACAAAAGCCCAGTTAAAAACATTTTTTTTTCTAAAAACCACAGAACCAAAACATTTTATCCATAATTACAAAGAGAACAATAAAGGGCCCAAGCTTTCTAATAACTCAACAAGTCAATATTACAGGCTACAGATAATGAAGGGAATAAAGTTATAGAAAAGTGGGTTTTGAGTAGTCACGGGAGCGGAGGAGACAAAATTCCTGAGGCACGTCTTTGACAAGCTTGAGACTTTGCAATGCAGAACCAATCGAGACATCACAATTCCCCAACTCCTAAACAAATTTCTCCTTTTAATCCAAGGGAAAAGGCAATAAATTGAAAAGGTTCGAACTTTTATCACAAAAACCTGATTTAATATAGTGCTAACGTTAAAGATACTTCAGCCCTTACCAAAAAAACACAAAAGCTGGCCTAATCTACAGAGAAAAGAACTTGAAGCGACTCAAAACAGCGAAAAAGGATGAGGACCCATGTGACAGAGACTGAAACTGGGCTGCTATAAGAGTCTTTTTTTTTCTTCGAATGCTATAAGAGTCGCATAGAAGTTAGAACAAAAATATGGATAAATCACGTTATCTTGACGAGGAAGGTCCAACTCCAAGCATAGAAACAAAAAAATCAATGAAAGGCTTAATTAATGGAATTTTGAATTAGAACTCCATATTTAAATGTCTTACCTCTCTGATATGATCAAATCAAGGACGGCGACGCAACACAAAAGGTTGGATCTGTGGGAAAAAGAAAAGCAACCTAATAAGAAGAGTGGCGTGAATCTAAAAAATTGTCCCGGCAGAAAAAAGATCTAATGGTAAAACCGTCCAAGTTTCCACGGTTGCACCTTTGAGGATATTTATTTTTTTTCTTTTCTTTAGTACCTTTTTAACGTTTGATAAGAGGATATGTTTTGGGAAATGTGTTATTGCTTATTGGCTATTGGGAGTTAATTGCGGTGCAATATATTTATATATGACTAATAATAAACTTGTGCATTTGCACATAGAAGAATACTTTAAAAAGATATAAATATAAAAAAAAAAAATCAAAACTTAATTCATGAAAAAACAATATGAATTAAGAAAATAATTTTCAAAATTGATTTTGATCAAGTAATTGTTATGGAAGAGCCGTTACAACCATTTTCTTTATGCTAATATATTCAACCATTTTCATGAGTGGGTATAACTTAAAATTTGAGTACAATTTTGTAACTCCCTTGATTGGTTTATGTTCATAATTTATGACATTCAAGCAAGTTATTTTGTAACTTAAAAAATGAAATTGAATGCTGAAAATTTTGGAGGGAGAATAAAATATAATGCATGAAAATAAAATTTAATGCATGGTATAAAATTAAATGTTTTATTGCTCCTCTTTATATATATAGATGCTATTCGTTGAATTATTTGTATTTTTTTCCATATATAACAAGTTACACTATATGGAATTAGCCTATGTTATAAAAATTTAGTGGGCATTGGTAATTGATTATGGGCCTAAAAGTCCAAAACCTTGAGGGCTTGCAATCCCATGGGCATGGCCCTGTTTTCTAAACCATTAAGATGTGATTGATATGGACCCATTACCCAAAAAAACAAAAATCAATCATTTTTAATTAAATTAAAATTTTTAGCTTAACTTTAATTTAATTTTACTATACTCGATATTATTAATATAATTAAAAAATATCAATGAACCATTCTTATACATCACATCAACTTTAATTCATTATTTATCTACTCACATAATTATAGCTAATCGCCACTTCACATTATATCTCTCTATTTTTACATTAAATCAATTTTAATTACTTTTTCAAATATTATATTAATATAACTCAAAATCTCACTAAAAACTAACTATACAATATTTTTTAAAATTAATTATGATTAACAATAAAAAAATCAATCAAAATCAAACCAAATACATATCCAGTCACAAGGTAAGAATGTGATTGAATAATGAATATGAACTTGATATTAAAAAAAAAAACAAAAAACAAAAAACAATCGATTTTAACTCAATCATTTTTTTAACTCAACTCCACTATCTTCAATACCATCCATATAATTAAATAATATCAATCAATTATTCTTACAAATCACATCAACTTAAATTTGCTATTCATCCACTCACATAACTTTAATTAACTATCAGTTTACATCATCTCTCATTCTTTTACATCAAATCAACTTTAATTATTTTATTTTAAATATTATTAATCTATCTCCTTGTTTTACAATATCATTTTGTATCTTGACGTTATAACAATAGCAGAAGAAGAGAGGGTCGAACCCTCCAAACCGGCAACGGTTGAGAATGGAGAAGACAACAATAAGACGAATAGAGTTGGTGGAAAATTAATTGATAGGGAGGTTCACTTGTATGTGTCAGGAGATGAGAAGTTAATTGGACTGAGGGTTTGTTTGGCCCAGTTGATCTCATATCCATGCTCATCATGGTATTTGTGGAAGCTTATATTATGATTTGTGTGGAAGCTTGTAGGCTAGGCCTTCAAAGGTTAATCGTGTTAAGTAAAATTGTCTTTTAAAAAATTAAGAATTATAATTTTTTTCTTTTTTTTGTTGGAATTCGTTGCTGTTAGTTAGCTTTAGATGACGAATATTTGAATTCTTCATATAAACATATTTTATTTATGTAACTATTTAGATATTCTAATGATGAAAACTCAATTGCAAATGTGATAAATTCGTCACTAAAGTTTAATGTTTTGATGAAAAATATGAGTTCGCTATTTCAATATGAACTTTCAATAACAATTTTAGAATTTCAACGACAAAGTTCCCATAGTAAAGTGATGAAGTCGATGTCACTGAAAGTAATTTTTAATGACAAACCAGTATAATATCATATATACATATTGCGACACGGGTAGTGACGATAAAATTTCGTCGCTATATATTTTTAATGACGAGAAAAGGAATTGTTATGACGAATATTTTCGTCATATAATATCAAATTTCTTATAGTGTTCGTAAAAGTTATATTATAATAAATATTATTTTTTGTTAATCATATCCCATTTATTCCCGTGAATTGTCCAGTTTTTGAGTAATTAATCAACATTAAAACTTGTGTACATAATAATATAACAAGAACACTGGATGCCATTATGATTTTTAGAAGTGTATTGATTAAAAAAATAAAAGGCACGATTCTTT